AACAAGTCTTATATCAAAAAAAATATAATAGGAGTTCACATATGAACATAACAAGTCTCATATTGAAAAGATATAATAGGAATAACTAAAATATAATTTTACGTATCATTTATATATTAATATTATTTATTTATTTAAAATTTATAATATTAAATATATTTATTTGTTTAATAAAAAAATATAAACAATTATAAAAAAATGTTATCTATATATCAGTATTCACTCTCTATTATATTATTATTTACGCTTCTTTTTCCGCATACGAAAAGTTTGCCAAGTCAGTAATACAGTACTTTTATCATTTTTTTATTTTTATTTTTTGACCCTGGAAAAATTAAAAATATAAAACGACTGAGCCCAAGTGGCCAACATCTTTGGGCAAGCATCCAGAGGGGATAAAAGTATAAAAATAGCAGTTTTTTGTACTTTATACTCTAATCTTGGTCAAGTGCCTTGATTGATTTGGGAGGAATGTGTTAGCACAAGACCATCGATTATTTTGTACCGTCTATCGTCTCTGAATTCTGTAGCAAGCCTGAGATTCCAACCTCTCTGCTTCAGCGTTCAGGGCCAACCATGGCGGAATTCATCTTCCTCTTCTCAATCCTTACCGGAATTTCTCTTCTTTGACGGTTTGTTCACTCTGTATAATCTAATCTAATAGACCCCTGCAAGTTTCTCCTTTTCCTCCACGCACTCTCTTTACTTTAGTTGTTGATCCCAAATTAATCGAGAAAGGTTGATTGAATTTTTCAGCTTTAATTTTTATGGGGTTTTCTTTTTTCTTTTTTTTTTTGGATTTCGATTTCGATTAATGATGTATGTGGATTTGAACATACCATTCTTTCCATATTTGCTCCTAAACTGAAAATAGCTTTCTGCTTTCATTAGAGTTCATTCATGTTTGTTTCATCTACTCAGAGGATACCCATTTGCTATTGGATTAATTTAATAACGCTCATTCTGTTGGGTAATTTGAGAATCTATGTATTTCACTTTCTGTTAGTTGATAGGTATGCTTGTGTGAAGAAGATAATCTTTCAATTTTGCTCTCTAGAGGCAGAAAAGTAAGAACCTTGTTATTTTTTTGATGAAAACTTGATTATGGATGCAGAAATTGAGTCAGACAACTAATAGACAGCCTACTGTTGCAATGGGAGAAGACAGTGGCGCTGAGTATGTTAATATTGGTGAAGTGACATCCCCTAGGTCGGTAAATGTCAAGAAAGTAGCAATCTTGCCGCTTATTTTTCTCATCTTCTATGAGGTTTCTGGCGGTCCCTTTGGAATTGAGGACAGTGTTGGTGCTGCTGGACCCTTACTAGCCCTTGTTGGATTCTTGGTGTTTCCTTTCATTTGGAGTGTTCCTGAGGCATTAATAACTGCTGAGATGGGTACCATGTTCCCTGAAAATGGCGGTTATGTTGTTTGGGTTGCATCTGCATTAGGTCCCTATTGGGGGTTTCAGCAAGGATGGATGAAATGGCTTAGTGGGGTTATTGATAATGCTTTGTACCCTGTTCTGTTTCTTGACTATTTGAAGTCTGCTATCCCTGCTTTGGGTGGTGGGTGGCCAAGGGTACTAGCAGCCTTAGCTCTGACTATAGTCCTCACTTACATGAACTACAGGGGTTTAACCATTGTGGGATGGGTTGCTGTTGCTCTTGGGCTCTTCTCCATTCTTCCTTTTGTGGTCATGGGATTGGTGGCTATCCCCAAGTTGGAACCTTCAAGATGGCTTGAAGTCAATCTGCATGATGTGGATTGGAATTTGTATTTGAACACACTCTTTTGGAATCTAAACTACTGGGACTCAATTAGCACACTCGCTGGAGAGGTACAAAACCCTAAGAGAACTCTCCCAAAAGCTCTGTTTTATGCCTTGATCCTGGTTGTTCTTGGGTATTTCTTCCCTCTTCTAATTGGTATTGGGGCTCTTCCAGTTAACCGGGAGTTGTGGACTGATGGTTATTTCTCAGACATAGCTAAAATGATAGGGGGAGTTTGGTTGAGATGGTGGATCCAAGCAGCAGCAGCGATGTCAAATATGGGGATGTTTGTGGCTGAGATGAGCAGTGACTCTTTTCAACTTCTTGGGATGGCTGAACGTGGGATGCTGCCTGAGTTCTTTGGGAAAAGGTCTCGGTATGGTACTCCTCTGGTTGGGATTTTATTCTCAGCTTCTGGTGTTATTTTGTTATCATGGTTGAGCTTTCAAGAGATTGTTGCTGCTGAGAACTTCCTGTACTGTTTTGGGATGATTTTGGAGTTCATTTCATTTGTAAGGTTAAGAATGAAATATCCAACTGCATCTCGACCATACAAGATACCTTTGGGAACATTTGGATCAGTCCTCATGTGCATTCCTCCAACCATCTTGATTTGTGTTGTCTTGGCTCTTTCTTCGCTCAAAGTTGCTATAGTAAGCCTCATTTTTGTAGTGATTGGCCTGGTGCTCCAGCCTAGTCTGAAGTATGTTGAGAGGAAAAGATGGCTGAAGTTCTCCGTCAGTGCTGATCTCCCAGACCTCGATTATTCTACTCATGGCAGTGCTGATACCTTAATGCAATGATAATGGTGGATAAGCTTGCAGAGAAAGCTCCCCATGCAAGACCTGTAAAGGTATCTATGGACAACATAAGATTCTTTGGTGTCTTGGTGCCTATTCCACCTTTCAACCTTAGCTAGCTGTGTTTCCTTATCTAGCTGACATCCATTATCATCCATGTTTTCAGATAAGTGTTGGACCGTGGAAATGATTAGTGAGTGTTTAGTAAAAAAGCACCAGGACCATCCCACTCTGAAGATCAAGTTACTAACTCGGGTTTCACTTCTAGTATGTGACCAATTTATCCTGAATTTCATGACAAGTTAATAATAGTAGTAGTTTTTGTTACAAAATAAGTTTTGTGATTGATCCTATTTTTAGAATCTAAGGTAGCTTTTCTTTGCAACACTTGTCCAAGATGGAGAAACAAATGTATGCTTGATTATTAGTAGCACATTGCCTTCCACCTGTCGTCTCACACAGAATGAGAGAGAGCATATGTTTGGATAAAGCACCTTGAATCTCTCTTTTCATGCTTTGAGCTTTGAATTGATGCTCAAAAGCAAAATGATGCAGAAAAGGATAAATCTTGTAAGTGCATTACCTTCTCTCCTTCATTTCTCTTTCAGAAATTCTTTGCTTTAGAAGTAAATCCACCATGGCTTCAACTATTATTGTGTATTGTTGACAATGAAGCCCTTCAATGGATCAACAAGAATTTTCAAGGACATGAACTCAAAACCACATCCGTTGTCTAACTGAGACGAAGGGGTAGTTCTCTGAAGCTCTTTCAGCTTCTGAGGATTTCTTGGGCTCTTCTTGTCCGGTTTATTGCTGTTTTTATCCTTTCTATTCTACTTTCCACCAGCCATTCACCCTTCTTCCTCTTCCCCTTTGTGAATCCCCTTCCTTTCTTATCCTTCTCACTTTCTGCTGTACAGTATATCCAAGCCCCTTCACTTTTCCATTTTATGCCTCTGTTTTATCTAAGGAGATGGAAGAAGGAGAAAAAGAAAACTTCCTCTGGGCTTTAGTTACTCATGGTCGGTTCAAGCCACTGCAGAAATAATTATGTGCCTACTTTGAGTAGATCTCTGGAGTAATGGAGTGTCTTGGTTTTGGGCAGGCACTTGGGATGATCACCACCTTCACTATTTTGTGTTAGTAAAGTTAGTTGCGTTTTCCTCCTTCGATATACTCATGTAATATGGATGTGAATATTGATCTATGAAATTGCGTGATCCTTCGTCTCTGGATGTAGGATGACTTCTTATAAATATATTTGGGTTAATTTAACAAATCATCTATTAACTTTCATATTTTTTTCAGTTTCATCTATTATCTTTGAATTCTTCCAATCTTGTCTATTAATTTTCACATTTATTTCAATTTCATATAGTCTATTATATTTAACCAAAATATCCGTTATTTTTAACATAATCTTCTTATTCTTTAACAAAATATTTAGTCCTCTAACTATATTTCTTTTGATCTTTTAGTCCTTAAATTTATAATCACCATAAAAATAATTTTTAATCTTATCTTGCTAAATGTGTTCTTCAGAAAACTGTTTTATAGAGTATACTGTATGCAGTCTGTCTTGTAAAATTATTTAAATGCCCTTAATTTTATTTTTATATTATTTTTTAGGAACATTTAAATAATTTTTTAGGACAGATTGCATATAATCTGTCATGTCAAACAGACTAGTTGCTCACATTTATTATAAAATTTAAATAATCTATCTCAATAAAATATGTCTTGAGTCATCATATTTTATTAAGATTATAATGTCACTTTTTCAAAACTCAAAGGACGATTCTATTAGTTAAATCTAATGAAATTTTGTACTGATAGACTATTTTGAATATTTCCAAAGTTTATAGACCATTTAGGAAAAAACTAAACTTTTTAGGCTAAAATGAAATTAAGCTGATAGTTAATAGACTAGAAATTGAATTAAGCCAATATATTTTAAGTTGAAAAAAAAAAAAAAAACTGAGAAAAATGGGCAAAACCTGTGAGGTAAGTTGATGAATGAAAAAAACCTTATCTTCTCAAGTAAAATATATTCAAGCAGGGCATTATCACGCATTTGCCAATTGAAATTCAAAACTTGAAATTTAATTCAAAGGCATGCCCATTTTTTAAGGGTTTTTTTTAAACTATACCTATTAGTTGTATTTTTTAATTAATTATTATAAAAAAATTAAAGTGTTGAAATTAAATTATCAATCATTGAATAAAAGTTATT